TAATACAAATATAATTGATCTAATTAATTTTTTACTCATTTTTAGATTCTGAGAGGAGCAATATTCATTGTATTGATTTTACAATGAGTGTGTTTATTTATTGTGTGTCCGTCATCACCGTTTGTGGTTGTACAACTGCTTCGTTTTTCTTCAACGGCAACTTGTTCGATGGGAAAGTGAATCTAGTTGGTGAATTTGGGAAAACATAATAACAATTAACAAAAACGTTAAGTTTTACTCAAAATCGGTTTTCGGCAAATCGATTTTATTTTTGGTGTAATTTTAAAACAAATTAGGTACAATGTTTTTTCAAAAATGAATTCATTCTGGTAAGACAAATATGAGATTTACTATAGTTGACAGTTTAAACTTGATAAATATTTTTTTGAAAAAGTAATAATAATACGGGCAATGGGATGGGGGGCTTCAGCCCGTTAGCCTCCCCCCTGCGGACGCCACTGCGTTAGCTATAAGCCTATAAAAGTTGAGCATTTTGTAAATTTTTAACTAGGCACAAAATCAATTTAGATTCTGAATGTATTGATTTTACAACGATGTGTGTTTTTTTTAATTTTTGTGTCTCACCTTTTAGGACAGTAAAAATGCTTAAATTTTCTTCAACAGTATCTTTTCTAATAGGAAAGTGAATCTAGTTTGTATACTTTGGAGGGTCAAAAGTAAAAATGTCCTAGTATTTTTCAAAAGCACAGTGAAAAACAAAACAAAAATTAAGGAAAAACGGGAATTTCGTAAAATCTGTTTTCGAAAAAATCGATTTTGGTTTTTGGTACAACTCTTAAACAAATTACCGTAGGTACATGCAATTTTCACTGAATGTTTATACAGTCGATTCCGCTTAATAGAGAGTAGAGACACCGGTTAATAAGGACAACCGCTTAATAGGGACAATTCTTCAATTACAAAAACAAATGTATACTTGGAGGGTAAACATTCACCGCTTATCTGGGCCACGAATCCGGATAATTGGGACATTTTTATCGAGTATATTAATAGATCAATAGTTCAACAATCGTGACGGACTCTCGTAATCGATTAATACTTTACATTTTATCTTATTTAACTTTATTTTATCTTATCTTTTATCGTAGGTATGTTCAAATGTGATATATGTTAAAAATTTATGTTATAAATGTTATTTGGTGCAATGGTGCATCAGTCGTGTTTGTCGCGTGTAGCAACGATGGCTCGTGTACGTAAAGATTTATCGTTTGCTCAAAAATTAGAAATTCTGGACAAAATTAAATTACAGCTACCAGGCAGTAATACACGTCGTCTTTCGGAAATTTTAGGAGTACCGAAATCAACAGTTTTTTTAAATAAGATAAAATAGGTACATAATAAAAAAATAAAAAATATTTATATGTACTTTATATGTATGTATTTTTATAAATAATTAGGTTATATCATGTTTTTATTTTTGTACTATCAAATAATTTCTATAATACATTGTTTGTAATTTGTAATAAAAATATATAAAACAAATCTGTGGCGCCGAACACGGGTTTCAACTGGGGAAAATACCCCAGAACTATTTTAATTAATGGGGGGTGGGTGGGTCATGAGTGACTGATTTTATGTATAAAAGATAGGTAGGTGGGTGCCCTTAAACAAGGTTTACCCCAGTGGTTTAAAAAAGGTTCGGCGCCACTGAAACAAATCAGTTTTTCAACAAATTTATATGTTCATCGTTTTTGTATTTCGGATTATTGGGACAAAATAACACCAACCGATGTGTCCCAATAAAGTGGAATCGACTGTATTAGCATTTTCTATACACCATACAATTTTGAAAATAATTAGACTCTTTTTAAGTTGTTTACGGACATTGTCAATTTTCCATTCTTTTAGTTTTTTTTTCTATAAATATGAATAAAATTTTATTTGTTGGGTAAAAAAGCGTGAAAATGTAATGCAAGGCTCCTGATATATTGTTACAATATCAGTTGAAAAATATTAAAAATACATAGGCACAATTTTTTTTTATAAACATTTAAAGATCAAATTTTGACAAAATTTATCAAATTTAAAATTGAATAATTATTTTTTAGTTAAAAATTTATAAAATATTCAACTTTTATATCTAAGGACTGAAAATTTAAAACAAGATTCCACGTAAGTAGTTTATTCTGTTACCAAAAAATCTAAAAACTACATTAGCACAATTTATTTCTTTAGTCATTTTAAGTTAAAATTTGGACGAAATTACATATTAAAAACCTAGAATAATTATTTTAGTTATTTTGTTGTGATTGTATAATATCATTAGTGGGTACTTGAAACTTCTAAAGTACACTATTATATATCTATGGAGTATGGACTATGATAGTATCAGGGTTTGTTGTTGACGTATAACGCATTATAAGTACCTAATGGATATTGTGATATGATTAATTTGGAATTTATTATAGGTACCTATTTTAGGTATATTTTTTTTAATACGATAGATAAGTATACAATATGTCCTTTACCTAGACTGACATACCGTCTCCGCTCGGAATCGTTTTTCTTATACAATGATAATATATCATTGAATTCAAATTTAATATCTTCCATTATAGTATTATACAGTGACCCACTTGTAACCAACTGTAGGTAGATACAGCAGAGCAACTTTTTAAGCCTTTGTCAAAATCTGAACTTTAAATGTTTATAAAAAATATTGTGATTATGTATTTTTAATATTCTTCAACACTGTCATTGTAACAATATAATAGAAGCCGCTTATTGTATTAAATTTTCAAGCATTGGACCCGCAACGATTACAATTTTATTGTTATTGATACAAAAAAAAAAAAAAAAACTAAAAAAATTGGAAACAGAATATGTTGGTAAACAGAGCAAAGCAAGTTAAAATATTTTGAATATTTTTTCGTGTACCTATTATATCGAATCCTAATATTAACATTCGGTGAAAATGTCATGTATCTACCTAGATGGTACCTATTTGCATACCAATTTTCATAAATTATCTGTAATTTTTTTGTAAAAGTATGAACTACTTGTATGAAAGAATTTGTATTAAATTGTCTAGCCTTATATATATATATTTTATATTTTATGAGTTTTGAACTACAAATTAACCGTGGTTTTGACGATATTTGAACTTTAAATGCTTATAAAAAATAGCCATGATGTCTATGTATTGTTAATATTTTAGCGATAATAAAAAAACTCACGTATTACATTTTTAAGCTTTTTGAACGGATAATTATTTTTTTTATTGACATTTATAGAAGAAAAATTTTAATTAATCAAATACAATCCAAGTTAAGACGGTATAACCAAGCTTGTTACCAAACAACTTAAATAAATTTTCATTTTTTTTTCTCCAATTATTTATAAAAGCACTAAGAATTTTCAATTTCTACCTCCTTAAAGTACTAACTAGATCCAATTTGCTAACAAAAACATACACTGGGCATCGAAGCTTATGATCAGAGCATTTTTTCTACCAGATGAGTTGAAAAGTTACAAACATTTTAAAATACCCCAAATAAACGTCTGCAATTATTAGACTGGACAAAATAAAAATTAAATTGTAACTTATTTTCAAGCCCCCCCTATTGAAAAATCCTGCGGACGCCACCTGTAGCTAAGGATTGAAAATTTAAAACAAGGTTCCATGTAAGTTGGATATTTTGTAACCAAAATAGTAAATACTTACCACAAAAATTATATGTAGTCTTTTTTCGTTAAAATTTGGGCGAAATTACATATTAAAAAACGAAGAATAACGACTTAGTTATTTTGTTGTAATTTTATAATATGAATTAAACTTACTGGCTAGTGGCAAGTGGCTACCGTATTAATGATAAGTACCTAATAACAAAATAAATATTATATAAAATATCCATACTGACAAACCGTCAGAATCGTTTTTCGTATACAAAGATTTAGATATTATAACATTGAATTCAAATTTAATAGTATATCTACCATCCATTATACTATAGAACAGCAGAGCGAGAATAAGCGATATCCACTTACCCGGCTTTTTTATATTTATAAATGTATTTACACAATTTTACTTGTATTAAATGCATGTTTTGATATTTTTAGGCTGTCAATAGTACCTACTATATACGTAATTACGTAAATACGTTTAATATTTAATATAATAATGTTTATAAATTATAATATTATACAGACATGTTGACTATAATAATATGCAAATATATGAATATCAGAATAGGTATATAATATATTATTATATTATTATTACGTATTTTCATAAACCTAGTCCGTGGTTTATACTTAATAGTTAATACTATAAAGTATAATGTATATAGAATTGGTCTCGTGCGCGTGCGTTCCATTACTGTTTGCGTTCTTATTTTTATAAATAATAACTTCTCGAAAAAGCTATTATTATAAATATTATAACATTTTGTCGACAACAAGTGAACTAGAGTTTCATTTAAGTGCCAAGTAGGAGCCGGAAGGTCGGCGATTTTGGTAGGTAGAATAGGCTATAGGTCTCGAGTGTTTTCGTTTTGGCACGGAAAGTCGGAAAAGCGAAAAACAAAAAACACCTGTTCGAAAAGTCGCCCTTGAAAATAATAATATTATTATAATAATATGTCCTATCGTCCGAGTACGTCGTCTCTCCCGTCGCGCGATAACGGCGTTCTGGCTGATAAGTGATAACCTATCGGGTACCAGCTACCGAAGATCGGAGTACCGCGAACGGCCAAAACAGTAAATACGGTGACGGACGGCCTTGCGGCGGCGCTTTGTTTATAAATAAATTTAGTACCAGCCGCGGTACAACGCGCCACTCACTATTGGCGGGCCGCGAACGGTCTTAGCGCGCAATATTGCGCAAACCGATTGATCATTTTATTGTTACGGCGACCGGGCGACGACAGTGGCGCGGCGCAGCGTTGTCGCGATCACAGTACGGTGAGATGATTTCCATTCGCGTTTAGTTGGAGCCTTGGAGGGATATTCCGTCGAAAGTTGCGATACCCGCGGTCGATATGGATTCGTTTTTGGACCTATTCGACCCAGGCACCAGCCCCCCGACCAATTGCGATGTATGGCCAGAAGACGACGACGACGATACCCGTCTGCCACCCGAACCGCAAATGGGCAATGTCGAGTACAAGCTCAAGCTGACTAGTCCGTCGAAATTGCGCTTTGAACATCTAGTCACTCAGGTAAGACCCCATGTTTCATACTTGACGGTTTCAACAAAATTCACTATGTTATGCCTAATTATTTGCATTAGCTGAAATGGAGGCTCAGGGAGGGACACGGCGAAGCCATTTACGAGATCGGCGTCGAAGATACGGGGAGGCTGACCGGATTGTCTTCTGATGACATGAAGTCCAGTCTGATCACTCTGGATCAAATGGCTCTCAAACTTGGTGCCACCACATCAGTATTACGAGAAAGATCTGTTAGAAAGGACAAAATAGTTGCGGAAGTTTTAGTTCGAAAGGTTTTTATCTTTTATACAAAATTATTATGTATTGTTTGCCTTACATTTGTATACAACTGTACCTAACCTGTTTCTAGATAAAAATAATTGTTCACCTATACCTTACTAATTTAAATTAAATTTAAGTTATATCTTATCATTCTATAATCTAATGCTAGTAAATTTGAAGGTTCTACACAATTTATTACATAATATTTCTCAACGTTTTAGAAATTAATGTATTATAAAATTATGTTTTCTCTTATAAAATAATATTAATTAAATAATTACATATTATTAAAGTAAAGTAAAATACTTCTTTAGGTATTTATTGATTCTAAAGTCTAAACTCGAGTCTAAAAATGAAATATCTATACTTATAAACAATAAATTGTATACTTTTACATTTTTTTTCATCTATGTCATCAAAATTGTTTAAATGAAGGTCAAGTTCATAATTTTAAGAAAATGGCTATTAGAAAAAAAAACTGATGATCATACGTGATCATACAAAAAATAAACTAAACAAATTTCTATACAAAGAGATTTTATTTAATTATATTAAATTATATATATTGTAGTTCTAACTATAAAATTGTTTATTTAACTGAGTACGAATGTTATCTAACGTTTTTAATATTATAAATTAAAGAAGATTTTTCATTTAACTCCTCTATAGTATTCTTTGATATATTAAAATGAAAGTAATTTTATTATGTTTCAATTAATCTTTTCCAATTTAGATAATATATAGTAGAATAACAACTAAAAAAGATAATTATTTTATCATAATATGTCTTATTGTCATTTTGTCGTCAATGATATTGAAGATAATTTTTTTATGATTACCCACAAAAATTTGCATTCATCACGTATAAGTAATAAATATCAAGGTCATATTTCAGCTAAAGTCTATAACATAATAAATCTAATAAAAAGTTAATAATTTAAGGTGTTGGAGTTGGAAGTAATTTAGATACATAACTATTTTTAATCAGTACGTTTTTATTAGTTACTAGTTAGTAAAACTTATTAGTGTTAGGTTAAAACATTAATCATTATATTATTATAATAAAATGTGTTATGTTATTTAATAATTTATAATATTCATAACTAAGTACTTGATGTTACATTTAAAACAATTACCAGTTGCATTAATTGTATAATATACAGTTAAAAAGAGGACATTAAATATTTTAAGAGTATAAACTAAAATAGGTTGTAAACAAAAGTCTTAAAATTTAAAGTAAAGAAAGTATCATAAATATACTAAAGTTCAGAAATATTCAGTATATATTTTAAAAATAAAAAAAATATTTGGATGTGTATGTGTATAAATTATAACCAAGGCATAGATTTGTGTGTAAATATATAGTTTTATTGAATGCAGATTTTTTAATTCTGATTAAAAATGTGCATTTTACCCTGCATAAGGTAAAACATATTCATTTTTACATTTTATTTTCTTAAATTTTTCTGAAATTAATATATATGTATTTAAAAAAAAATTACTATTAAATATATATTTTGTTAGTATTTTAAATTTTTATGTTTAGTTACTTATTTACAACACAATTGAAAATAATCATTATTCTAAAGAAATTATTTTCAATCTGTCGTAATAAATTAAAATAAGATAAGATTAACAATTTTTGATATCGCCATTATATTATATCGCACAGTTAAGCTAGTACTAAAGTGACTCGTTGTTCTTGTTTTTCATTTGTACTTATATTCAATACTTTTCCTGGTATTATTCTTTTTTTATATTGAGCTTGGCTACCTTTAATTTTAGAAATTTATAATAAAAGCTAAATTTTTTAAACAACATTGAAATATATTAGAAATTAACGCATAAACCAGCAGTGTTGGATAAGAATTGATATAACTCACCGGCGTTGAGTGTGTTAATAAGTTATATAACTGTTATTTAAACATTATTAATGTTGCATCAATGTAATAATAGTTATTAAATTTTTATGATAACACTTAAAAGAATTGTATTTTATATTCTATTTTTAATATTTCATTATAATACAATTTGTATGATTTAGGTTCCTGATGACCAAGAATGTATTGAAGTTATGGTAGCTGTATTGGGAGGCGCAGATGCTGGCAAGTCAACTCTCCTTGGGGTCTTAGCACATGGCGAATTTGATAACGGTCGTGGTAGTGCACGGTTAAATGTTTTAAGACATTTACATGAACTTAGATCTGGACGAACTTCTTCTATATCTCATGAAATTCTCGGTTTTGATACTGAGGTAATTAAAATATATTACAAATTATCAATTTAAAAATAATGAATATATTAAGAGGACGTTTCACCTCCATATTATGTTGTCTCTGTCTTAAATACGTACGACATAGCACATTTTATGCTCAGCAGATCACGTTAGTTTAAAAATTACAGTGAATTGACCTCTTATAAAATTTAAACGTAAGATTATTATCTAGGGTATCTCTAGGCTTTTTCTTATATTTTAATTTTAAAGCGAGTTATAATTATTTTAAGATAGACAAACAGTTTGCAATTATTGAGTGAGATGTACTTATGTTATCTTACCTTTAAATCTTATAGAAGGTCAGTTGACAGTTCACTCTAATTTTTAAACTAACGGAGCTAAACTTGATCTTGCTAAGTGTAAAATTTGGTATGTCGTAAGTGTGTAAGATAAAGACAACATATTAGAGTGCGACGTCCTATTAAAGTTAATATTCTTTAAGATGATGTCAGCACAATATTGTTTTCTCTCAGACCCTCGAGCAACATAGATAAAACACTCACCTAAAATTGTTGTTTATGTTTTTTGAGTAATCTTAGCGTAAAATCGCCTATTACAAAAATTATAAACGATAATATTTTTGAAGGTATGACTTATCAGTTTTATATTTTGTTATTATTTGACTCTGTATTCGATTTTCGAAATAAAAAAATTAAACAATTGTAAACTTAAATGATATTAAAATTGTTTTGAGACAATAATTAGGCAAATGGATATGTCATACACTCAAAAATATTATTCTCTGTCGTTTTTGTAATGGGTAATTTTACTCTAAAATTACTCAAAAACATAAAAAAAAAATGATTCTGCGTAAATGAGTTTTGTCTATGTTGTTGCAATTGGGCCAGAGAGAGATAACAAACAGTGCGCTGATCCTCTTATTTCAAACTAAACAAAATTAGAGTTACAACCTTAAGTATTATAATATAAAAAAAATGAAAACTATTAGTTCTGGATATTGTTCATCACCTGATTACTTTTAAAATGAATGATTAAACATAAAATAAAGTATAAAAATTCAAAATAAATAACATACAAAAAAATTATAATAATCAAAACTTTTAAAATATTTAAAATAATAATCTGGTGTGTAACCATGAACATTTTTTCTGGGTTTTTAGTTTTTGGATTTACAAAACTAAGTTTACTATCCTTTTATTTAGTATTTTAAGTAATATTTAATTGTATTAAATTTATATATTTTTAAGGGTGATGTTATTAACTACCAAAAGGCACGCACAGCCGAAGAGATCAGAGATCGTTCATCTAAGTTGATCACATTCCTTGATCTGGCTGGACATAAAAAATATCTTAAAACTACTGTAGCTGGTTTGAGTGGTTATTGTCCAAATCACGTTATGTTAGTTGTGAGCAGTCCAGCTGTAAATGTTTCTAGTCAATTAGACATGACCAAAGAGCATATGGATTTAGCACTAGCACTTAGGCTCCCATTTTGCATTGTTGTTACAAAGACTGACATTACTCCTGCTGACAATACTATCAATTGGTTGGAGTCTATATTGAAATCAGTTGGGTGTCGAAAAGTAAATTATACCACATGTTTATTATCTGATTAAGAATATATTAAGTTTATAAATATTTAATTTTTAATTTCAGGTTCCTCTTGTTATTAAATCGGACGATGATGTCATCACTGCAAGTTCAGCACAGCCAACACAAAATGTTGTACCCATATTTACCATATCCAGTGTTACTGGTGAAAATTTAGATTTACTCACTAGATTTTTATATGTTTTACCACCGAGTATAAGTATCAAAGAAAAAGAGAGATTGGAACAGGTACTATAATATTATTTTATTTTATATACTTTAAGTGTGGGCCATGCCAAGGTCTGTGAAAAATATATTGCCTCACCAATATTTTAATAATAGAATGTATAATACAATTGAGGCGTTACGTAGCAGAATCAGCAATCTCCACTTTTTTTGAAATAAATGTTTTGATCATATTCATATAATACTTTTTACTCTGCGTCGATTGGTGAAGCTGATTTTTATCACATATAATCGCCCATCGAGATAAAACGTTTTAATACTAGCTGATCGCAGCAAAGAGAGCAATCTCCAATCATAATACCATATAATACATGTTCTACGTTTCTGTGGCAAATGAGGCAATCTCCATGCGTTTCTGTGACAAAAGCGGCAATCTCCGTGGGTTCTTCTTGGGTTCAGCAGCAAATTTGACAAAGTCCATTTTCCCTACTTTATTATTTAATGTTATTGACATTTAACAAATTATATGAATACAGGGAATAACACCAAACTCCACTATCAACCAACGAAAATAAAATATCATGGAAAAATACAAGAAATAAAATTAAAACAGTTTTTTGACATTTACCAAAAATCACTGCGTTAGGAGATTGCTGACTTTGCCACATGACGCCTCAATTGTAATATTGAATACTATTCGACAACAAAATTTTTTATATTTATCAATATGTTATCTAGGCTGTATTTTTGTCACTTACCTCATTTCTTATTATTTGGTACTACCAATTTGGTTACATGATAAGTATGCTGTGAGCGAAAAATTAAATTGATGTAAGTGACAATTCACTAAGTACATCAATATAAAAAAATTATTGCATCCCATACTATTCATTTAATTATTAAGAATGGTGCCTGCCTTTTATCAAATTTTGTTAAAACCTAATTTTTTCCATATTTGTCGTTTACACCAGGGTTTCTCAACCTGGGGGTCGCCAACTTATTATTTAGGGTCGCAATCGAATTATTCAAATCATACAAGTATGTAAAATATATATATGTAGGGGTCGCTAAAAAATTGAAATTTAAAAAGGGGGGTCGCCACAGTAATATGGTTGAGAAGCACTGGTTTACACCATAAAGTTTGGTCATTGATAACATGTTATAAAATAGTGTTATATATAATAAATAATATCATCATAGTTATAGATACTATGGTATTCAATTGTAGTATTGTAAATGTGTATAGTACAATTTTATTATTATACAACTATTATATGAGTGCAATACATTTTCCATGTGTGCAAACATACCAAATTTTAAAATTTCCATAGTAATATTTTTTTTTTTTTTTTTTTTTTTTAGGAATGTTGTCAGTTCCAAATAGATGAGATTTTTAAAGTTCCAGATATTGGTACAATTGTTGGTGGTGTACTTACACAAGGTGTTGTAAATATAGCCACAGAACTAGTCATAGGTATGTAACAGTAAACTTATTATTCTGGTTACAATCATTAAAATATAATATATGCATCATATTTAAGTTTATTTTATTTGTAGGTCCTCTTGATAATGGAACATTTGTTCCAGTTACTGTACAGTCTATACACAGAAATAAAGCTCCATGTCGTGTAGTAAAAGCAACCCAGAGTGCTTCATTAAATTTAGAAAAAGTTATTCCAGGCTTGAGGAATGGCATGGTGCTGTTGGGATTAGGTGTAAACCATAGTGCCTGCATATTCTTTCAGGTATGGCCACAATTTAGTTGCGCCGAACAAATATTCATCATCTGGATTTAATTTGTAGGCTAGGATTGTGGTGCTTTATCATGCGACATCCATACACAATGGATTCCAAACCACTGTACACATTGGGAATATTCGACAAACTGCTGCTATTGTTGCTATCATGGAGTGTGATAAACGAGGCATGCACACTAATGATTCCGCATCAGTAATATTTAAGTTTGCGCGCCATCCAGAATATGTAACTGAAGGCATGAGGTTATTATTCAGAGAAGGGCAGACTAAAGGAATTGGGATTGTTACACAGGTGTTTGCTTTACAGGTTGTGGCAGGATAAATATTATGTTTGTACATTACCGACAGTCAATATTTACACGGATGAATATAAAGTACTTTAAACTTAACTTTTATATTATTTATTTTTTGGAATTGTGTGTTGTATACAATATTTCACTTAATCCAATGCATAACAATTTTACCTATAGTTACAACAATTTAAACAACTATAATATACAACTTTAAAATGACATATATTTACTAGACATTCAAACTGACCACTCTTTCTTTTTTTTTAAATTTGTATGGTGTATATATAATATTAATTTTCAATTAATAAAGAAAACCATAGTTAGTTATTTATGAAAAATATTAAAATATAAATAAATGTATAATATACTAGACACAACATTTTTTTAATGTAATATTCCTGTTGTATTAACTATCAGCTATTATTTTATAAATTTGTTTAATTGAAATGGCTTTTAATTTTGTATAGTGTTATTTTTTACAAATATATCATTAAAGTAATTGGAATATCAGTCGGGTTTTAAGAGATAAATTAAATATTGTTTGGAAATATGATTTTGCATATTATTAAGATTTTATTTTATATTTTTATTGTATAATATAGTAATTACCAGTTTTATGAACTCATATAAAATATAGTATATATAAAAAAGTTGTTACATAATATGTTTAATGTTTATATAATAAGTATAAATATTTTAAATATTTAGTATGATATATTTATGTACTGTAAAATATAAATAAAATAATATATTTTTAAGGCTAACAATATAGTTTAAATGTTAGATTTATTTTTTCATGTACAAATAACTTAAAAATTCAAGTATTTTAGAAATAATTACAATGTATATTTTATATTTAATTATTATTTCATCAAATGTGTAGCATAGAAATAATTTTCTGTAAAAAGATTAGTTAGGACACTTGTTAGTTTTAGTTGTGAAGAGGTAAACCTGAGAAAAAGGAATGAAGTACAAAAAGTAATTTTAACTTATAATTTAAGGATTAATATTTTGTAGTTTAGTTGTAAAATTGTGTGACTGAATGGAACATTTTAATATTAAAATATTATAATATTTTTATTCATAAATTAAACTATATTAGCAAAGTATATATTATTATTATCTTAAGTTTTTTTTAGCTTAAATGTGATAATGTTCTACTTGTATTCAATATAGCAATTAATATTAAGCACGTTGTGTGATTTTGTTTTTAAGACATGCTTTGCCGTAGTCGCCTACAAAATATACTTTTTTTCATTATAATTTTCAAAATAAACAAATTATTATATTATTGAATATTTATATGTTTAAAATTGGAGGCCTTTTTTTTTTTTCGAGGGGGGTGAAATACTCCAACACCGCCCCCACCCATAACAACGCCACTGCAGCTAAGAGAAAAGTCAAATATCCAGACTGAAACGTGATGAATGACGTATTGATTTTATAATCACACGTGTTTTTTTTTTGTACATATAAACGATAAATACTGTCTAAAGTAAATAATGTTTTGATTATCATTTATCAACATAAGTATCTTTTGGGGGGGAAAAGTGAATCTTGTTGGTGCTTTTTATAGGTAAAAGTGGTACATCACAGGATTTTTCAATAGCGTCGTGAAAAATTTGCATTAACACATGTGTGTTTAAATATTAAAATATATTTTTAAATTAATGATAATAAATGTATGGTAGATTAAGTTTTTTTAAAATTTATTAAAGTAAAATCTATAATTAAATTTATACAGTTTTGTACCTAATGAATAGTATGGGTTTGAATATAGTTTGATTTTGGTATGTGACATAATCAATAATTAACTAAGTCCTAGGGTTAAGAAGCCCACATAGATAATAAAGAAATTTCTTTTATGGTATGCATTAATGAATTTTAAATCTTGGCCTATTGACGGTTGAAATTTACTTTCCAGTTTCTATCGAAATTAAAGTTTTAAAAATGAAATACCTGAGAATAATTAGTAAGAATATAATATTATATCACACACTGGTTAATGTATGAATGTGACGTCACTAAATAGGATAAAAATTTTGCCAATATATTCACACACATATTATCATTCAGAATCTTATGTTACCTATTGCTTCCATGTCTATATTTATAATATTAGTATTATTTCGTCACAAATTATTTTGTACCAATCTACCTATAACTTACTTTATCTGTTTTTGTTTTTACTTTTATTGTATAATTAGGATATTAATTTCAAACACAAATATTGTAGATGTCTGTCAATTATAATTTTTATGCAAATGTGTAATGTATAGTAGATAACCCTGGGCCTCCACACGAGTATGTCTCAGTGAGGCCTAGTAATCTCATAGATTTAAATTTAAATAAAAATAAAAATAAATAAAACTGACAAGGTATGTCAGCACCTTATCCGACGAGCGTCTCATTGCATCTTGGCAAATTAGCTGATGCGCGCGCAGTTCCACTTATAATACCATTATCACCGTTACTTTCAAATATGATAATCTGTATAATTTAATAATATTAAATATTAATAACAAAGTAATAATTACAGAACATGAACAGTGAACACCTTAAGAATTAAAATAAAAATGTACCTAATAATTTTGTTTTTAAATTTGGTAAGTATTTGTATAGTTTAATAATTTATTGTATATTTAAATATAATATTTGTTTATCCAAGTAACAAACAATATGAATATGAACTAAGGTAGTAAAAAGGTACAACTTTATATAAAAACAACTAAATTATAAACATTAAAATTTATAGTAATAGGTATCTAAAATTTAAAAATGTACAAATTTCTACTAAGTTTGAAATATTGATTAATTTATAAAAATATTAATTTGTCAATAAAAATTATAAACTCATAAATGTATAGTTGCAATTCTATTAAATGCTATATGAATAATAAACTAATAAACACTATTATTATAGTTATTTTTATATTGCTTTAGTAAACCTAGTACATTTTATAACATTAACATAGTTAATATACAAATTTTAGTTTAGGTTATTATTATACAAATTAGTTAACTGAATCATACCTTATAAAGTTATACACTTATACCTATATTTAAATGGCTAAATAAATATTTAAAAGATGTAATTTGATTTTTATAAATAATACAATTCTTAAATAGGTACTAAAATTCAGAAATTATGCAAATATTACACTCTATGACAAATGTATGTTCTTTAATAGTATTTTAGTCAAATTATTTCAGTTTAGAAAGTAGTTTTTGTTTAATGAGCAAGTTAAGATTTCTATTATATTATTTGAATTAGGTATTTATCTATAGTACATCTTTCACATACTATGCATATTGAAATGTATGGGTATTTACTCTAATTATTAATTAAATTTAAAAATAAAAAATTATATTTTACTGTTTATATATAAAGTCACCTATTATTACAATAGGATCAAGTTTGTTTCACTGATAATCTTGGCATACAAGGAACGATATTAATTTTTCTGAAATGTCTAGAATGACTTTCCAAATACTATTAAATGTAATGTTTGCTCGGCATCTTTCATTCTGTATCATTTGTTTGTTTAGTATTATTAATTAACTCAGTGACGGTGTTCACATTCAAACTTTGTTTTTGGAGAGCTTTCCTTAGAGAATGTGTTATCGTTAAAATTAAATTAATAATTTTTACAGAGACGATAAAGTCAGTAGATGTCAAGCAACGAATAAAGCAATGTGATTTTGAAGAAGAAGTCACATCATCCCATGTACTTATACATTCTAAAGCCTGCAGTATTTGTAATAAATTATCATTAAAAAACATTAAAGATTCATGTCGTTCTACCCATCTTGTATCACATAAGCCCCTCAATTCGGAACCTAATTTTTGCTTGAGAACAAAATTTCTTTTGGCTGAACTATGGAAAAAAGCAATTATTTCTTTAATTGTACCAAAGCAGTTACTGATTCTTGGAATATTTGTTGACTTAGATAGTACCAAATTCAATGCAAAGAGCTCTGGTGACATTCTTTGTATGCTTCCTTATTTCAGAAACAGCACCAGCTTGTTCTGAAGCCATGACACTGCAAGTATCAGTATCAAATACCAACACAGTAATCTAAGTTCAATTCATTTTTGTTCATTATTTTAAAAACAGTTTTTCCTAACAAACCGCGAGTTATTTTCGGTTCAACATCATTTTCTAAATTTTCGAAATTAAATTTATGAACATCAACAAAAGAAATTAAATCTTCTCTGACTGAATCTTAGTTGAAATATCTTAATACTAAACTTAATTGGGAAATGTGGGATATGTCGGTGGTTTCATCAAACATAATTGAATATAATTTATTATCAGAAATTAGTTTTAATATTTTATTTGAAATAATTTTCCCAAAAATATCAATTAACTAATTTTGTAAGATTTTAGAAATATAAGTGGCTGTCTGTGAACTTTTTTGTAAGTGATTTTTTAACTCGTTATCTCCAGATATAACCCGCATTCTCAAAATAGCACGAAAATTTCCTTCGTTCGTAACAAGAGTTTTCCGGTTCATCAAGCATATTTCCGTCATCTCTGTGACCTCTAAATGGTATGATTTGTTTACCCATAGTAATAATAGTATCAAGGATTGCCGCAGGGCCGTCCGGACTACGATTTGCGGGGCCCGGGGCAGAGTAAATTTGTGGGGCCTAAAATGTCATTATCGTCAGTTGGCAGTTGCATTTATTTAAATATTTAATATTATGAATTATGATATATACCTACCTAGGTATAAGGGGGCTACGTGCAAATATACTTACAAATATAGTACCTTGTACTTACAATACTATGAATAAGTAAATTAATTAATAATAAAACAGTAAACACGTAATATATTTATACTTAATATAATAATATTGATAAATTAATAAGTCTATAAATATAGTAGGCACCTAATACAATATGAAAAAAGGTAGACAAGTGGGTACCGCTCTGCTGTACAGTGGGTGTCAAGCATGTCGTTGTAATGGATGTGTTATATTTAAATTACATTGATAAATTATTGTAAACGAAAAAATATTCTGAGCGGAGACATTGTATCAGCCTATCACACTTGTAAAAGTAATCAAATTTAGTAGCTAAAAAAAAATTAACAAAGATCGAAAACGTGGCTTCCTGGGGAACTTTTTTAGTTTGATAGAATTACAAAAACTTGTTGGAAACCTTCTATTAAAATGTCTCAAGTTAGGTATGAAAAAAAAACTTTTATGAATTTTGTCAAAATTGGAACTTTATAAGAATATAACAAATAATTGAGCCTATGTATTTTTGAAACTTCCATTTATAAAAATTACAAGGAACCTATCATTACATTTTCAAGATTTTTTACTAAATGAAAAAGATTTTATCGAGGATAATTTTAAAAAAATTTAGAAAAATGGAAAAATTTCTCAAGGGCTCAAGCCTATAATTAGCTCAAAAATAGTCAAAATATTGAGAAAATGTTTTATGGAGAATTCTAATATAAATATTTGTTGAAAATTTCAAGGTTCTACAGTTAGGTTTGAGATACACCAAAAAAATAAAATCGATTTTTCAAAAATTGATTTTGTATAAAAGTCACCTATTTTTTTGTTTTTCTCAACGCTTTCTAAAACTACTAGAAATTTTTAATTTTGACTCCCCAAAAATACCAACTAGTTTCACTTTTCTATCAGTAAATATGCTGATCTAGGAAATCGGAGCACTTTTACTACCCAAAAAGGGCCCTACAAAACAGAAAAAAAACACACATCATTGTAAAATAAATACATTTTTTCGCTCCGCTCAGAATCTAAGCATTTTTTTTCTATAAATATTATAGCTAAGTTGTTGTTTTTTTTGGGGGGGGGCAGAGCGCTTTGAAGATTTTCATCATTTTCAACTTTGAAAATTGAATTTTAATCATATTAACTCGTTTTAAATGCAATACATTTATTTGACGACTGATGTCAATTAATATAAGTAGGTATAGCCGTAGGTATAGGTAGTAAAAATTACAGCAATTAAGGATATAAAAATCAAAAAATATATAAATAATAATTTTTTTTTCTCATTAACTTGGCTTTTTTATGGTATCTACAAAAGCGGGGCCTGTCCAATTGGTGAAGGCGCGGGGCCCAGGGCGAGGGCCCCGCTAGCCCTGCCCTAGGGACGGCCCTGAGGATTGGTAATAATCTTGAGCGATTTTCATTTATTTGTTTAACCTATGATCATCTAATCTATTAATTATTTCTAGTTCTGGCCGGTCATACATTTTTAAAAAGTCCTTTGAAGCTTCAACTGAATTTTTATGATATATAGTATTTTCATGTTTTATAAGTGCTCCATCTTTTCCAATAAGTTTAGAAAAGGAAACAAATGGATATTTTACTAAATAGCCTGCTTCGCTGTTACATTTATAAGCTCTTACTTGTCTATTTAAAACGAATACGGTGTAAAATTTACAATAAATGCCTTTTTAAATAGTGAGTATATTATCTATGACAATCTTTGAAAATGATAAAATCTTAAATAATATTTTACAATATTTCCTTTCTTTAAATGCAAAGAATATGGTAGTGGATCATTTTGATGTGGAATTATTGGATTTGTAAGCAAATGTTTTTTTATGGTATGTAGGTATTAGTGAAAATAGTTTTTGTCTCCAATAAAACACCAACATTATTACATTGTCACTGTCAGAATGAAGTTGTAATAAATAACTTACTTTTAATTCATCTTCATCACCTTTAACCTCAAATATAATATCCTTTTCGGATTGCAGTTCTATTAAAAGTTTTAATATTAAATTAAGTTAATAAACAATATGTTTTATATTTTTTTTATGCATTTAGTAATCCATTAATACCTTGATCTTTCACTGATTTCACAAGCGAGTGTGAGGCTAATTGGTAATCAACATAATTTTGCCCTTTTTTTTGTTTTTTATTGAACATTTCTAGAATAGGATAGACTTTCATTTGGACCAGTGGCGTAAATTAGGTCCAATTTCTGGTGGTGCAGAGGCATATTATTAACCTATAATTTCCAACACAAAAATAATCCAACTTTCTAAGTAAAATCCTTCCTAACAAAAAAAAACTATATATTTATCCATACATTTTGTCAACATTTGAACTTCAAATCCTTATAAAAAAAAATTGTGGCTATGTATTTTTAATATTTTTCAACGCTATTGTAACAATATATCAGGAGCCTTCCATTAAATTTTCACGCTTTTTACCCAACAAATAAAATTTTAATGATATTTATAGAAAAAAAAACTAAAAAAATTAAAAAATGACAATGTCCAGAAACAGCTCAAAGAGAGTTAAAATATTTTCAAAACTTTGTGGTGTATAGAAAATTAAAATATAAATATATAAATTTTCATGTATTTACAGTTATTTGTTTGAATAACAACAAATTAACAAAATCGCTACATAAGACATCTAGTGAATATCCAATCTTGTAAAAATATGATTTTCAAATGCTCATAAAAATTTAATTTGATTTACTTGTGGACATTTTTTTTTTTTGATAAAGGCGTATACAAACTTATGAATAATCTTGTATTACATTTTAAAATCTTAGATTTGAAAAGAAACATTTTTATGATTTTTTCAACTCAAATTATATTGTTAATTTTCGTGATTTTTCTGTATTTTGTCAAGATTTGAACTTTAAATGCTTATAAAAAAAACTGTGACTAAGGATTTTTAATAATTTTCTAATGTCATTGTAACAATATAGTTGGAGCCTTTTATTAAATTTCCAAGCTTTTTTACCCAACCAGTGAATATTTCAATTATATATGTAAATGTTAATTTGTTTGGTCAAAAACCAAAATCGATTTTGTCGAAAACCGATTTCGGGTAAAAATTCCTGTTTTTCCTTAATTTTTATGTTGTTTTTCCTGGCGCTTATGAAACCTGAAGAGAATTTTAAAATTTGATTCAATACGACGTCTAGCTATCATCTGACATTTGACTTTTGAGAATTGAATGGACATTGATCCAGTGATAACACACTATTTTGGCGGTAGAATGTTGATAGCAATATAATTTTACCATATTATACCACAGAACAATTATACGTCTATTCTGTGCACGATTAAAGATATAATATCTTTAATCGTGATTCTGTGATACTGCCATAATAAAATACAAAATTCTGTGGATAGTGGTTACCATAGATAATAATCTAACTATTTATGGGGGTTGTACGATATTTTAGAATATAGATAGGCCAGATAGGGTAATAATTTAAATGATAATGTCTAATACATGCACTAAAATAATTATTTTGTACCTCTTTATATATTATATATTTCAATGATTTTCTGGTGGTGCAAAAACATACCTTTGCACCACCACATTTTAGATGTGGTGGTGCAAGTGCTGCATTTGCACCACCCAGTTTACGCCACTGATTTGGACATTATTATGTGACAAAAAGAAATTATAACACACACTATACACTTAGATGCTTATATCGTAACTATTATACCGTACCTACATACAAAAAGATAAGATAAAGTTATTATTATTATTTATTAGTGTACCTGTGGTCTTAGCGAGTGGAGTTATCGTGTAATAAATCGTCATGCCAAGCCCCGATTGACAGTTTATCGTAATTCTTTTGGGTAGTGGATACGTTGTTATAGTTATAACGATACGTAACACTGAATATAACTAGTAACAATGTAATACATTTTTATATAATAAGCTCAAGGGGGGGTATATGCCCTACCTATGATCCCCCCTTGGATCCGTCACTGTCGGCTAATAGTCACTTCATATCTTCTTTTTAGGGTGTTTTAGTTTTTTGTAAGGAGTCGGGAGGAGACTTGAATTAAATTTTCACGCTTTTTTACCCAACTAATAAAAATTGACTGATATTTATAAAACAAAAAAAACTAAAAAAAATTGAAAACTCACAATGTCCGTAAACAGCTCAAAAAGAGTCAAAATATTTTCAAAATGTTATGGTGTATAGAAAACGAATATATAAACATTCAGTC